GCACGAGTGTCAGAAGAATAAACTGCAAGATCTGGAAGAGGACCTGCGGTCCACGGAATCGGTAACGGTAACGAAGGAGATGCAACGGTACCTGAGGCGCAAGGCCAGAGGGCTTCCAGACGAGAAGACGCCGCAGCAATTGGAGGACGACATCAGTGCGGTGAAACGACAGTTCAGCAAGATCTTGGAGGACCACCAGGCTCGGCTGGAATCGATCGAGAAGGAGATCGCCGCCGTCAGAGGCAAGAACGAGCAGCTCGATCGACAGATCTTGGAGATGAACATGGCGAGGTGCGAGATGGAGCACCAGCGCGATCTTATCGGCGAGGCCAGGCAGCGGGAGCACATGGAGAGGAAACTGAGGATGGTGATGCACCGATCCGAACTGATTAAGAAGCTGCAGGATAATTACGCCGAGCTGATCGAGCTGCAAACCGAGCACGAACTGCTTAGACTCAAGCGATACCCGATCTTTCATTTCAGGATGCTCGATGATAATGACGAGGAAAGAAAGAAGGATTAAATCTCCACGTGTCCTTGTTAAATCGATACGTTTATTTGGCTATTTTTATTTCCCATTTCGGAAGTGAATTTTGTTTCTCCAGCGGAGGAACTTGGTGACGTTTTTTTTGCCATTTCAGAAGCCACGATCAAGCCATTGATCAATTTGATTAAATTTATAGATTGAAAAGTAGAAAGAGGTTACAAATACTATATTCTTATAACAAATGAAAGTATTAGTTGTATCAGTATTGAAATACCATTCGGTATAGTTCTTCAATTTTTCTATATTTTGTTTTATTTCTTAGAATATTCTCAAGGACTTGTTTTTCTTTTCTTCTAATCGAGAGAAACTACGCGATAAAAAAAAAAATGCAGGTTGTAAATGAAGGCTGATTCTTTTCGCGTTGATCACGACCACGAGTGAATCGTTGAAGTTTCATGAAAGGAAACGAGATCGACAGAATTAGCAAAGAAATCGATGAGCAAGTAATTTCGATAATTGCGCAGGGCTTTTGAAATACGTGAGTTAGAGTTTTGAGAGGTTTGCGAGGTTGAATTTATTTAAATGGTCAAAGGGATGGATCGAATGAATGGAAATGGACAGGGAGAGCAACGTTCGTTTAAACGGACGCGTTTCTGTTTCGAATGGCATTTATTTAACGACTGCAATTAAATCCAGTATTATCTCCATTATAAAATGACAAATTATTTGCAATTAATTGGATTTCATCCATCTGCTGAAATTATATGAAATTTTGTAATAAGTGCAATTATGTTGTACAAACATATATAATATAAAGTACATCATTAAATTTAATATACAGCGGCTTAATATAAAAAATGGCTAGCACTCATTGAAAAGCAAGAATAGCGTGCTAATAAATTTGGTAGTCATTGGAAATAAAAGTTACTAAAACATTCAGCCAAGTTATTCAGAAAATTATGACCCTTCAATGATCTGAAATTAAATAAATTCAGTTTGAAGATTTCAATTTAAAAGTAGTTTATATTTCTGTTGAATATATTTTTTTTCTCGTTTAATATTTTTAATGATTTATTTAACAGCGAATAATATAGTTAATATTATATTTAAATTCTCTATAATTTGTATTTACTCAACAATTTCAATTTCGGTTTTATTTATCAGTTTTATTTATATATCAAAGATGGAATTTATGGCCAGGTAGTTTTAAGAATTATATAATATAGAGTTGCTCTAACAAGGAGTTGTTCTTGCGAACAAAGATCACAAAATTACAGAGTATTTGTAGAAAACATTACAAGTGCTGAGCATAAAATATCTCAGGAGGAAAAAGAATGTTAATTCAAATCATTTCCCAGTGATATCAGACTTTAGTATTATTGATAGAAGGAAAATTCCATTTAAATAGCACATCAGAATATTCTCGTCAGCACGTAGAATATTTTTCGATAATAGAAATTTTCCAATTTTGGCACTTAAAATGTCTTCTTTTATCTATAAATACTCTTCATTTATGACATTTGTATTTACATTTAACTATATTATTTGGTCATGTCGAAGACTGGTAGATCTTTATATAACTTTGTCCGAATGCACTTAAGAGTTAGTGGAAGAAGGAGAAAAATATATCGTGCACTCCCCACGCTTCAACGACAAATCTCCAATATGCTCGACCAGAAGATAACCATAAAGTTATACCGACGCTTTCCCGTGTCCATGGGATATACATTGTACCACGAAGACCACCTTCTAAACGCGGCTGAGTTACGGCTGGTCGAAAGGATTTAATCAGGCTCGCTTTGCTCGGTCTCACAAAGGACAAGCGGCAATTTGCAGCGGCACATAAATCACCCGGGGGGACCCGCGATGCATAATAGTCGCCACGATCTATACTCTTTTTCACCATAAATAACTGTACTAATAGTAGAGCTGCGAGATGAATGATCCAGCGCGTTGGATCGCCGCGAACCGCGTAGCGTACGAATCAATTTCGTCCGACGTTTTCCCAGCTGTGGACTCGTTTCTTCGGCTTCTATCCCTCTGTTACCAACGCTACACAACGATCGAGGAAAAAAAAGGAAAAGAATCTTCAGACTCATCGTGCGACGATTAAAAGCACCGGATCGTTCTCGCGCTTTCTTTCTGTAAGAAACGAGAAAGTGAGATTCTTGGTTGTTGCCAGCGTGTCGATCGTCCACCTAGGTGACGTTGCCTCGATTCATTTTTTATAAGAAAGAGATCGAGGACACCGGGTGCATTTTTGGACAGGGGCGGCCAACTTTTGTCGGTGTTTAAGAATAACGGATGACGTTTCGTGTTTTCTGTCATTGTCGAAATTCGAGGGTTAAAACCATTTGAGGCTAGCTGTTAACGAAAACGTGTCGATTCGAACATGTTGGTACTTATTTATAGCACAGGAAGAACTTAGAAATATTAATCTGTTGATTGTGTAGCTAAAATTAAAAGACGAGTATATATGTTAAATACAAAGTGCTTTACCTACTGTAAAATTGAAAATTATAACGATTTAGTAGGCTTTCTGTTTCTGAAAAACTGATGAAATTGTTGCTCAAATTTATTCGATATAATTGGCAATTCTTCCTGTTGAAAGAAACGAAGAAATATCGAATACATAAAAAAAAAGACAAATTAGAAATTCTAATAACAAAGAACAGAAAAAATACCGAAAGATATTATCAGACTGCTACGCGATTACTGAGAAATTATAATTAAATATTTTAAATACTTTGTTTCAAAATAAATTTTCGCAAATTACAATTATACAGATTGTGGCGTTGGCAATTTACTTTTTACAGTATACAGTTTCTTTTAAATGAATTATTTTCGTTCATCGTGATTTTGAGATATTTTAACAAATATTAAAGCACAAATATTTAAATCTCCACTAAAATTTTAATTTCAAATAGCAGAAAGCTAATGTTTTTCCTTGCATGAGTATCAAGTTGAAGAACAAACTCCATCTTTTAGAAAAGAATCGATTAAAATTGAAACCAATCACGTTTTAATGAAAAGATTAATTTGAAGAGTGCAACAAATTTGTGGTAATCAATGAAAATCTTATAAGTCCTTTAAATCAAAGATATATTGATATCAAAAGGAGGAAATTTATTTTTCCCTCGATTCGTGTCTCTTTTTGTGACATTCTGTATTTTATAGCGGCACGAAGAAAACGGCTATAAAAAAGATAGACAAGGCAAGCCCTCGATCTCCAACTGTAAATATTTTTGCTCTAACGATCGTATGATTTTTATTAATGAACATGCTCGAACCTAGGGTAGCCTTGTCCCCCGACTATTATGTTGGTTGAAAGGTTATTCATCGGTGTCCTTTTTTTGTTGCCGCGGTAGCTGTGACGAGCCACGGAATCCAAGATATCTGTGACCAGCGATCGATTAATCATCGTTCTACCACTGACATCGACATAATACTGTCATCGTTATGTAAAAACATCAAGGGAGTGCCACTTATGACAAGTTCTTGTTGCTTGCCGCGTGAAATAAAATTGAAATAAAATTTCAAATTAAAATCCGAAGTCTGTATAATGTCATTTAACTTGAAAACTACATATTGTTTATCGGTGTACAACATGCGAATAGTACTGCATTCAATACGAAAAAAATACCTTTTCCATTCGAAACTCTTTAATTTCTTATTTGCTACTTGATAGATGAAGAAGAAATACCACGAAATGAAATATTTTAAAAAAGTCGAAATTGTGTCTGAAATCATTGAAAAAAAACCTAAGGTCATCGTGTTGAGAATTTTTTGAAATGATATCATCCGTGAATGAATATGACATTGTAGAGCCGTGGATAGGTCAAAATAAAATCTAAATATTTTTATCATTCTTGAATCCTTTTTCTATTCTTCTCTATACTTCTTGAAAGAAAATGATTACAGCATTGTGTGTTCAATTAAAAAAAAAAAA